TTTTTTTGTTTTTGTATTTCTTTGTGTTCTATTAAGTGCAGCTTTGAGTATTTTTTTTAGACTTATACTTCTTACCAAATTCATATACGAAGGTTCTTTTATGAATTTGATCTGAGCTGTTTCACTCTATCTGATATTTAGTAATTGCAAACCCGTTTCTAGCACCATATTCATTAAAATAGTTGTCTACCTCATCCCATGTATTGAAATAGATATCCTTAGGAATATCCTCTGAAGAGACTATAATTAAACCTATTCATTGAAGGTTGTTAATTACATAAGTTTGTATTTAGAAAAAAGCCAGATTTTGGGTTCTTGGATTGGTTAGTTTTGTATATATCTAGCAAGACTTTTAAGCAATTTTAATATATTTGGTGAGATTTTAAGGGTTGTAGTTTGGCTAGCAAATATAATTGAATACCACAAAGGTAAAACCTAAAAATTTTATAAAATTTCAGGTTTTTCCTTTTTGGTACACAATTATGTAGTGTGTTTCTAATAAAACTTTCCAAGAACCAATTCAGTAAGCTACAGTATAAACTCAAAGGCAAAATCTGGTCTGTTCTTATTTGCATATTTAAATCCTTACTATTTTCGTTATTTTCATCATGTTCAATATTTTTTATTTGTATTGTGAATGTACTATTAAACTTCTCAAGATTTTCATCTTCGAACATAACTATAGTCAGGAGATATTCCAAAAATAGATATTATAGATTGCACCTTTTATAGTATAAGAGTATTGATCAGAAGATTCCAGAATTCATAGCACATGAGCATTAACCAATCAAATTAATCAAGAAGTTCAATATATAAAAGAGATATATGAATAAGTAGCAAAGCTTTATTTTATAATAAATCTTTTAAATAGTAATTATCTTTTACTTTTAACTATTACTACTTTTCAAAAAATATATTATTGTATTTGGTGTATTATCAAATAGCACTATCCATATATATTATTGAACAATATCGCCCAATATTTATTTGCTACTTAAATCTATTTCTGTACTTCGTCTTGACTATTTTCTTTTATAAATAACTTTTAACACCTATGTAGTTATAAATAAATTAAAATTTTAAAGTTACTATAGTGTAAATAAAACTTTTAAAATGTTCTTAAATATATACAAATTTTAAAAATAATCTTATATTAACTGTTAACTAATGACAAGTTTTAACTTTTTGTTAAAATGAATACCTTTTTTTAGCTTCTCATTTACTTTAGCAAAAAAGATTGATTTCTGCTAATTAATTTTGATTATTAAAACTAGACATCTTAAACTATGTTTTTGAAGCTTACCAGGTTTCAATAATTATCAAAAATTTTTTTTTACAATGTACAATATTTGAGTGATAAAAGATATGTGAAAGCCAATCAAATTCAAGAATCTATTTGTAGATTGTTCTAGAATGTGATTTCCTAATTTAAAATATCCCTGACTAAACTAAGGCAGAAACCAATTTGGTAAGCTATAAACTCAAAACCAAATATTTGGTTTGTTATTATTTAATATTTTAATCCTTATTATGATTATTATTTTTATTGTATTCAATACTCTCTATTTGTATTGCAAATACACCATTCAACTCTTCAAGATTATCATCTTCGAACATAACTAAGGCATTCATTGATAAGTTTTAATTTTATAATTCATAAGTTCGTTTATATACAACTTATGATATCATTTAACTAATTAACTAATTTCATTATCTGTAGGGTTAAATGAGTTTATTTTGGCAAGTAGTTGCATATTTTTCTATGTAGTGTGATAGTTTGTATTCTATTTAGTTTGCTTATAGCTTTTTTTGAGATTATTTAAGCGATGATTTTGTATGATACAATGTGATTACTTTGTATGATTTTTTTCTAATATAATATGCAATTACTTTTACAATTCAACTTTAAATCTTGTTTATATCAAGTTTTTTAATTTTAATTTAAGGAATGCGATGCTATTATATTTCGCTTTATTTCCAAATTAGTAAATAATATATTTTTAGCCAATCAGGTTTTATGTTAATATGCAATGCTAGATTTAATTGCTCCACACCCTGCTAGATAAACATTTATCCTTTTTAAGATAGTAGATTTAGTAATTAATAATTCTATATATACATATACTGCTAAATATATATTAAAAAATTACTTTTACCTTATTTGTAAAATAACAAATATTAAAATTAATGATAAAACTATCTCTAATTATTCAAACCAAAAGATCTTTGTACAAGTATTAAAAAAGTTAGGATATTTTGATTTAATTATAATAACTATTACATACTACAAAACCTAACAGAATCTAGTATTATACAAACATTCCAAGATAGTAATATTAGTCAACCGATTTGTCACATATTTTATAAAATTATAGCAAAAACATATAGAATGACATATAAATTTTGTTGTGATGATATTTTTTCATTTATATATTAACTTTAAATTAAATTTTATGAATAAATAAATCAAGAAAAAGCAAAAAAAACATGTTTTAGACCGAATAAAAATGTTGTAATTTTGATATAATTTAAAAATATAACT